GGCCCAGAGGTTGGCCAGAATTTCCTCAGATTTGTTCAGAGAAGCTCAAGCACTAAGGATTGAGGCTATTTGCTGGTATACATTGGGCAACTACAAACAAAGCATCTCTCTCTGCGACAGGGCAAGACAACTCTTAAAGCTTTGTGGCATGTCTGGTGGTGACTTGGACATTTGCATCATGAACAGTGAGGCAGAGATACACAAGTTTAAATCTGAATATCATCAGGCCCGCAGTATCCATACTAGGATCCTTCAAGAAGCTGCTGCACACCAGGATCTTTACAATCATGGCTCTGCTTTGCTCAATATTGCTGAAATTGATGTGTCTATTGGTGCTCCAATTGATGATGTGCAGAAGAATTGTGAGGCTGCAAGAACAATCTTCTGTACTACAGGTGATATTAAAGGAGCAACTGTGTGTGATGCTATTCTTGCAGATCTCTATTTACGAGAAGGAAATATGGTGAAAGCAGAGAAACTTTTCAAAGAGTGTATCAAATTATCTGCAGGAAATTCTGAAATGACATCCTACTGTCTGGAGTGTCTTGGTGATGCTAGTCGCTGGGGTGGCCTTGAGTCTGTGTCTAGCTGGACAACAGTGTTTCTTGTGCATTCTCTGAAGCTAAAAGAGAAGCTTGGAATCCATAAGGCTGTCCAATTCCTAGGAGATATCTCGCTTTCTCAGTGTGATGAACATACAGCCATCAGCCTTTTCACAGTTGTTTTAGAGGGATTCACACATATGGATGTTCATCGGAGCAGAGCACAATGCATGCTCCGACTTGGAGATATTTCCAAGGGCCACAACAACCTGCTCAAAGCGGTGGAACTCTGGGAAACAGCAAGGCAACTGCTTGAACGGTCATCCCAGGCTAACCAGGTTGAATAAATTGATGAAAGGTTAGCTGATGTCAACAAAAATATAGTAGAGCAACACAAAAAACACTTGGCTTGTCTTTCAGAGCTCAATGTACCTTTGGCAACTATGAAGGCCATAAGTGATATGTCTGACAATGAAAACATGAAGAGACTGGACTTGAATGATGCTTGATCTGGTTGCAGTCTAATTTTTCATAGTATTTATTTGTTTCAGAGAGGATCCATGTAGTGTTTTTATGTTTGACTTGTCACTATCCCTATACCTAACAATGCCTTACCCTTCTGTTAGATTTGTGCAGATTTAATTTCGCAAGGGGCAAATGCCTATTGCAGAAAGCTGGCCCTTCCTAATACACCAATCACTAGTGAAAAATCAAACCAATTCAAAAAGCCATTATAGTCGCTTCATAATATGTCCTCACCCAGGTGTGTGAGCCTCACATATTATTAGTGTGTTAGTGCAATTTTGCCAAAAAAAGATGGTCAGGATGTAATTGTGCTTCCCTCTAAGAAAATACTCGGTATAACTTGGACAGCCCTCAACTTGCGAGAAAATATTTGGTGTACATAATTCTACAGCCCTGCTTTGCGAGGAAACACTTGGTATTGCAATAGCCCTTGCTCCTTGATAAAATACTTGGTATTGGATTCCATGACTGCAGTCCATTGGACTTGCCTTGGATCCCACTGTTATGATATGATCTTATTCTTCAAAAAATTTTAATTGAGCTATCGAATGCTGTCGAACACGAGTGGAATGGAAGAGGTCAATGGATTTCAACTCAGAGTGGTATTTTATGTCCTATTGCCCTGATTCTCTGCGAGCAATGGTTTGAGGCCAGAGGTGTATTTCAAACTCATCCAGATTATGATGACCTTGGCTATCACACCCAGAAAAGAATGACCAGTTCATGCTGTGTTCAACTTTATGGAATGATTCTAAAGCCTGAGTTGATGCAAAAAATGTAGGTCAAATCTACTTTCATGCTCCATGCCCCCCCCTACAACTCTTGACTGGTGAAAATCTTATTCTGTCTGTTGCCTGTCTGGGGAATCCAGCTTTCAAGTCCTTCCCCAGAATTTCAACCTGGCACTATCTTCCACTCTACCCTTCCAAAAATACCTGAAAATTCACGAAAAAATCAAGCCAAATGCCCGGCCTCCCCATCTTTCAACTCAATTTCGAATCCAACCCCAAGTACCCAACCAATCACGTGTCCCATCAAACACAAGCGCAAACAACAAAACACCAATCGCCCAATTGGGAAGTTGAGCCTCCCGCTCTTTCCTGCTCCCCCCTTGACTCTTCTTCGCTCACAGCTCTTCACACACTGATGGTGAATCGGTTATCATGCTGAAAAGGTTGACCTGGTCAAATGGCATAAAGTTATATTTTCCCCTCCACCAGGCACTGAGAGCCATAGCCATAGAGCGTTAACAGCTTTTAAGTCTTGTGTTCGAGTTCAACTCGACAACTCGACTTTCAAATTTCATGAATACATACTAGCTCTCAATTATCGCCCAAAATATATTTCGCCGACATCTGTTTTGCACAACATGCGCCGGTCCGAGGCAGAGATCGGGCCGCACGATGTGGCGATGCACCTTTCAAACAAGAAACAACAAGACATGTGACTTTCCACCCTTGAACCTCGACGACGAATCTTTCAGGTCGGCCTGCCTTCCATACTGACGATCCAATCCCTGAAAGACACCTTCCCTTTCACATTCGTTTGATCGACACCGCCGCAATTCGGTACGTAGGCGTTACCTCTGCCTCGATCGAGAGAAAAACAATGACATCCAGCAGAAACACGCAGTACAGAAAGACTTTACAAAGAAAACACGAAGAGCAACGATGAGCAAGTATGGACAGCTGATTGGAGAGGATATACGATGCGAACTGGCAGATAGCTGTGGAGGGGCCTAGACGCTACTCGGCACGGTGAGGCAACGCTTCAGTTCAAGTCTGGGATACTCACATGTATGAATCATCCAGTACATTGGCTGCAGGCTCGAATTCAAAGTGACGTCGACGATTGGCCATGCACGTACGACCTTCTAAAGATAGCCATGATTATGTCAGAAAATAACATTTTTAGGTGAGCGCACCTCGCGTCGGTGAACAAATAACCGCGTCGGCGACCTCACAGAATTCCTTTATGCCCTCGGATAATTGACGCTGATGTTCGGTTTGAATGGTGAGCTGAAACAATATTTATAATCATATATGTCGACAATATGGCGAACATGCTCACCAATGTCGACGTCTGAATTTTCTTCACCTTTTTGGCACACTCGTCGATGCTCTGCATAATCCCCCTCAATCTCTGCAGATATTTCTTCCAAGTCGTATCATTGCGTGTCTTCAACAATCGAGACTGAATCTTGGACGCTGATAATTTGGCCCTAGGAAACCGCATTATAACGGCCATGCTTGCCAACACCATTATTGGACTCACTCGAGTAAGCGACGTCCTCCATCCAGTAGCTCTATGTGGTCCCTCGCACATTTTTCTCTCGCGCCCTTCAAAACTTCCTCGGCCATTTTGATCGTGTCCTCGAGTTGACTGAGCTTATACGATGGACTTTGGCGATTGGCGGCATAAATTATGAACGATGTCACGACGAGGCCCAGACCAATGTAGCGAAAGCCTGGTATGGGTGATAGTGCCCAGAATATTATCGAGGTGGATATGTCGCACATAAATGTTGAGGTGGAGCAGCAAGGAGGGAGGCTGTGCAGCAGGCGCCAGAAAACCTCATCAATCTGCCGTTGATCCCACTTTTGATCCCACTTTGCTGCCCCTCAACACAGCCACATCAACCTGCGCTGCACAATGTTTTTGGCAGTCGGTAAGTATTTGAGCTCCTGCATGATGCTCGTTTGTCTCCCGCGGATCTTCTGGTGGAAGTTCTGGCAAATGACGAATATAAACATCATGCTGCAATGTTTTTTTCTGGAGCAAAAATGACAAAGGTATTAGATACGATGGCGGCAGACGAACGTGTTGAACGGGTCTTCACGGAATGGGTGACGCCGACCGCAATTGATATTGCGTGCGAGACTGTATCAACTCAGATGGATGCCATGGCAAAAACTTTGAGCACAGCACCAGGTATCACACAGTTCACCCCCAAATTCCTGCGCACTTGGAGCCTGAAAGAGAACGTAGTCCGACCCATCAATACTGTGGCCTCTGATGTCGTCAAAATACTATGGAATGCAAAAACAAAAAAAATGGCCAGGATATGACCGGTCCTCCCTCCGTGAGAAAATACTGGGTATAACTTGAACATCCCTGACTTTGCGAGAGAATACTTGGTATAATTCAATGGCCCTCGCTCCACGAGAAAACACTTGGTATTATTCAATGCAATGACCCTTACTTCACGAGAAAATACTTGGTATTGAATTATACAACCTCAGTCTATTGGAATTGTCTTGGATCCCAATTTTACGGTATGTCTTAGTCTAAAATGTTCATCAGCTGCTGTCTAACATGAGCAGAATTGGAGATGTCCAATGAATGTAAACCCTGAGTGGTGTTTTATGTACTATTGCCCTGATTCTCTGAGATAGGTTGAAGACAGATGTGTATTTCAAACTCATCTGGATTATGATGACCTTTGCAACATAACTCCTTGAGAGTCTATTAGTGTATCACACAATTTGTACCATGAAAAGAACACATCTTTATGGAATGATTCTAAAGCCTTGAGTTGATGCAAAAATGTAGGTCAAAGTTACTTTCATGCTCCATGCCCTCCCCCCACTACAACTCTTGACTGGTGAAAATTCTGTCTGCTGTCTGTCTGAGGAATCCTGACCAGACCTTGACCAGACCCAGCTTTCAAGTCCTTTCTCAGAATTTCAACCTGACACTATCTTCCACTCTACCCTTCCAAAAATACCTGAAAATTCACGAAAAAATCAAGCCAAATGCCCAGCCTCCCCATCTTTCAACTCAATTTCGAATCCAACCCCAAGTACCCAACCAATCACGTGTCCCATCAAACACAAGCGCAAACAACAAAACGCCAATCGCCGAATTGGGAAGTTGAGCCTCCCGCTCTTTCCTCTTTCCCCCCTTCACTCTTCTTCGCTCACAGCTCCTCATACACTGATGGTGAAGCGGTTATCATGCTTGCCTTCCACGCAGACTCTAACTTATGTAATCTGTAAGCAAGCGGCAGGGGTTCGACTCCCCTTCAGTGTATTTTTTTGTGGGAGGCAAGAGTTTTTTTGTTCTTCTTGTCTGGTTGAACGAGACACAAGAGTGTCATTCGGTCCTGCATATCCCACAAGCCTTGCCGTCATGGTACAGTTCTTCACCGGTCAATGAGACAGACCGGTCAATGATACAAACGGCTCCCATAACATTGACTGATGTCACAAACATTAGGTATTTTAGTTGGGGGTTCCTTTGACATCTATCCCTGTTGTATTAGTAGCCTGGGGCAATTGGATAGCATCTGCGTCCTCTGGAAATTCATCTTTAACGGAGAAGCAAAAATACCAATTTTGAAATGACCATAACACTTTTAAACGTCGTACTGGAATCTTTATTTCTTTTGGGAACATTATAATATCACATAAGGTCTTATTATTACGATGAGATCCATTCAAAACCCTACCCTGCCCACTCATAATCGAGAAATCAGCCTTGAATCGGTCCATCAATTCAAAATTGATGGGATTGTGTGACGCTACCAAAAAAGGAAATCTTCAAATAAAATAATCGTCTCGCCTCATCCATCTCCTATCCACCCTGTCTGCACCCATGCCCCGTGCCAAATCCAAGACAAGCCATGCTAGGGTGGCCCGCAGAGAGCAAGACACCTTGATGGCACAGGCAGTGGTCTTCTATCGTCACGAGCAGCAGAAAGAGCTTGGTGCTGGAGAAAAGCGGCTTAGCCTCCGTGCGGTCTGCCGAAAATTCGAGGGAGCTTACAAGGTGGATACTGGGAAGTCCATTAAACTTGACCACAACACCCTGCTTCGACTTGTCAACGGAGGAAATTCAAAGAGTGTGTCAAATGAAGAGAAGGGATGGCTACTCCCCGAGGAAGTCAGAACCGTCATCGCATTTGCGAAGGAGGTAGCAAACCGTGGCTTCCCCCTCAATCATAAACGACTGAAGGAGGCTGTTGACGAGATATGCCAAGCCCGTCTCAGCGACCGATTTCCCCCTTGTGGCGTCGGGAAGAACTGGACTGGCCGCTTTGTCGAAAAGCATCACGATGAGCTCTGGATGTACTGGTCACACTCTCTTGACAGCAAGCGTGGACGCGCCGTCAATCCAGCCACAAATAAGGCTTGGTACGACCTGCTTGAAGATGTGCTTGCTGGTCGGTGAGATGACGAGTTTGAGTCAGAGACAGCAGAGGACGATCGGGAGTCGGATTACGAGCCGATTCTACCGGAGAATGTGTATGGGATGGACGAGAGTGGTTTCCCTGCTTCAGCAACGCAAAAAGAAAGGGTGATTGGAGGAGCTGGAAAAAAGACGCAGCATCAGCGAGGCGATGGAAGTCGAGAGAACACCACCGTCATTGTCACAATATGCGCTGATGGCAGTTCCCTCAAACCGGCTGTCGTATTCAAAGGACAGGCGTACAACGTGCGATGGGACCAGGACAATCCTACAGAAGCGTCGTGAGTTGTTGTGGGCAACGAGTCGTATTCAAATCACTTACTTCCACTGCTAGTCTCGGTTACTCAAAGAAGGGCTGGGTGGATGGCGAGATTAACCTCGAGTACATCAAGGATTTTCACGAGCAAACAAAGCGAAAAGCGAGAGGAAGGACTCGCCTTCTGGCCGTGGACGGCCATCTTTCCCACTTCACCAAGCCGTTATTAGACTTTGCACGCCTCCATCGCATCCATGTGCTCTGCTACCCCGCGCACGCAACCCACATTTACCAGGGACTGGATGTGGTCGTATTCGGGCCGCTGAAATTGTACTGGTCAGAAGAGAAGAAGAGATACGAGCGGGAGCAGCGCCAGCCCGTGACCAAGGAGAATTTCCTGGCCATTTACGGTGCAGCGCATATCCGTGCACTCACTCCGGAGACAATTAAGGCCGCCTTTCGCAAAACGGGCCTCTGGCCCTTCAATCGCGAGGTCATAACCGAGGCAATGATGGCGCCTAGCCTAGAAACATCGGTCCGCGGCCATCTCCCTGTCGCGCCGAGTACGCCAGTCCGTGTAATGACAGATTTGCTCTATCGAGCCCGGGAGCGTGCAAAAAAGGCCAGAATTGAGCGCGCTTCGGATTCTGAAGAAGACAACAACACACCTGAATCACCAACCCCTCTAGGGGACAATCCCTCCCCTCCCCGTCGTCGTCGTCTTCCTGCTGTTGACCCGTTCGAGACTCCCATCAGAAAAGCCATCGTGAGCCTGCAAGCAACGTCCTCCGCATTCTTAGTCTCCTCCTCCCCAATCCAGTCGTCCTCCAATCCTCCCGCGAACCCCACAACCGAGATCTCACCTGAGAAGGCCACAGACGTGTTCCTCCTCGCAGCCGAGCCAGCAACAGCACTCGAAAGAAAGCTCCAGTCCGCATTAAGAAAGGCGCATGAGAAGAACACAAATCAGAAACGCCAGATGGTCGCACTTCAGTCGGCGCTGGTGCTGAACGGGGCCTACGTCGATGTGGTGAGAGGACAGCTGGCAGCGCAGGAGAAGAAAAAAGGTCGTGGTAATAAGAAGGGCCGCCTCGTTGGCGATGGGCTCCCACGGCTGTTGACGGCGAGGGACTTTGTGCGGCGTGTGGCGGAGTTTGAGCAGGACACCGCGGAGAAGGCCGAGGCATTGAACAAAAGGAAGGCGACTCGAGAGGAGAGGAGTGGGGCATTAAAAGAGTGGAAGGTCTTGGATGACCAGCGCAAGGAGAGGAACAAGGAGATCCGCCTTGCGCACGCTATCCGGGTCACAGAATGGGAAGCAGAGCGGGATTTGGCCAAGCAACAGCATCGCTGCCCAGGGTGGAAGAAGCCTTCTGTGAAGGGCCTTTTATTCTCGCCGCTTCCAAAGCCTGGTTATGCAGTGGAGGTGGGTGAGAAGGTTGTGGTTCCTGATAGTGATGAGGAGTCTCAGGAGGAGGAAGGGGACCAGAATAAAGAGGGAAGTGAGTCAGATTCAGATTCAAATTTTTCTGCCAACTCGGACAATGATTCGGAGGAGTAGATACATTATTACTCATACATATTTTACACATCTTCCCCCGCAGACTTTGAATCCTCCAGTTCATCATCTGAGCCGTTGTCTGAATCAATTCCGTCAAAACGGCGTGTCGCCTGTTGATGGAGTTTCCGTGCGGTAATGTCCATGAAGCCACGTAATTTGAACAGCTCACGACGTGTCGTGCGAAGCCGATCCAGCAGCCTTTGGTTCTCCTCAATAACCTGCTCCCTAAACAAATAGGATTCCTCAAGAAGCCGTTGAAGGAGTTCATATTCGACGCGGGTGTGTGTCAATGGTGTTTGAGCATTCAATGAGCCTGAAAATATCAGCATAAGCTGTTGTGTTAAAGATCAGTGTCGGCAACACGTACCTGGGATCTCCTCTTCCTTGACATGTCCAAAAGACGTGTGCAGCACTGCTGCTGCCTGGGGCGCCCTGCTCTCAATGGAATGCGAACGAGCGCGTTTTCTGGGGGGGACATTGTCGGAAATGATGGAGTTGTGTGTATTTTCATTATGCTGAGTTTCCTCGAGCTTGAAAATGTGGTCTGGGCTGGTGTGGCGCGTCAGGGACATCGGGAGTGAAGACGCGTTCCGTGACGTGACGCTGTGACGCGTGATACGGTTTGATCGGGCCGAGGCTTGTGTGACCGTATCAATGATACGGGAATCCTATTTTTCGAGTCCTTTGGTCTAGAGCTTTCCCATTGTGTTGAGGAAAAATCTGGAATTTTGGGACAACAAATCTATTGGATAGGAACACATTTCTGTCTACTCAGATTTTCTGTTCAGGTGAGAGGTTGGCTTAAAATTACGATTTGGCAATGTTTGTCTCATTGACCGGTGAAGAACTGTATGGTCTGAATCGCTACCCTGATGGTGAAGCGGTTATAATTAAATCGTAGTCCGAAATCAGGCTGGCAGGGTTTAACAGTTGAACCATTCTGTGGATGTCCTTACCTTCTTGTTCTGACTCGTCTAAAAATCGCATTTACTGTACTATTTTGACCGTAGATTCAGGTCACAGGTCACAGCCAGACCCGAATTGAATCTATTTAATTTTCGTCACAGGTCACTGGCTTTTGGGATCGCGGTTTTTGGCCGTTTTCCTGCTAAAATCCACCGGGAAATGCCGAAAAATCGCCCAAAAAGGAAATTGAATCAATCAAAAGGTGAATCTAAGTGGTCACAGGTCACAGTGGCTGAATCTACGGTCGAAATGGTACAGTATGCGCCCCACTATGATTGTGTATTCCCCTGTACCTCTAATCTTAATAATCGAAAGTTTCGATGAAAGCGAAAGATATCCACCCGTATCAAAGGTTCATGTAATATCATATTTATTTTGTCTTCACCCTTTCTTCCCTTCATCATGGAATGTAAAATGCGGTGGCGTTTGGGAGTTACTCAAATGATGTGTGCGGTGCATTCGTGCACGATACCTGACGGTATGATCTAAGTCGCCACCCTGATGGTGAAGCGGTTAAATAGTAAATTTCAACCTCTCCTCACCTTCTTGTTTTGAGGCGTCTAAAATAATGTTTACGCGCTCTACAACATCGACTACGGCGTAAGGTCTTGTTTCTTTGGCCTGTCTCTATTCATCGGGTAGTCTACCATCAAGTCACTACCCTGATGGTGAAGCGGTTAAATTATAATTGAAAGCAAACGGCAGCGTTCAACCTCTCCTGCTGTGTTCTTGCTTTAGCTCGTCTAAAATAGTATTTACGCACTCTACAGCACCGACTACGTTTCCTTGGCAGTACTAATTCAAGTGAACTTTGAAAACCGGCATCACAAGTTCATTTCCCAATTATTACCTTTACTTACTTTGCCTTCGCCCTCGCCCTTCTTCATCGTGCGAGCGAGACTAAGATGGTAGCGTTTGGTAGCTACTCATTTCAAGCTTTCAACGCAAAGGCGATATAAGTGAGTATTAATACTGTACATTGATGCATGTATCCGTCCATCCTTGTATCCTGTATCCGTATCCGTCCCGCTGTAGACGAGTAAGTAATATAACATATCC